GAGACTAATGACACAATGAGACTAATGACACAGGTGAGACTAATTACACAATGAGACTAATGACACGGGTGAGACTAATGACACAGTGAGACGAATAACACAGGTGAGACTAATGACACAGGTGGGACTAATGACACATTGAGACTAATGACATAGGTGAGACTAATGACACATTGAGAGTAATGACACAGTAAGACTAATGACACAGTGAGTTTAATGACACAGTGAGACTAATGAGACAGTGAGACTAATAACACAGGTGAGACTAATGTCACAGGTGAGACTAATGACATAGTGAGACTAATGACACAGTGAGACTAATGAGACTAATGACACAGTTGAGACTAATGACACAGTGAGCCTAATGACACAGGTGAGACTAATGACACAGTGAGACTAATGAGACAGTGAGACTAATGACACAGGTCGGACTAATGACACAGTGAGACTAATGACACAGGTGAGACTAATGACACAGGTGAGACTAATGACACAGGTGAGAATAATGACACATTGAGACTATTGACACAGGTGAGACTAATGACTCAGGTGAGACTAATGACATAGTGAGACTAATGACACAGGTGAGACTAATGAGACTATTGACACAGGTGAGACTAATGACACAGTGAGACTAATGACACAGGTGAGAGGATCTATCATGAATTATACCTTATACATTGCCAGTTTTGTGTAATTTACAGTGTATGAGGGGGCCAACTCTCCTCGTCCTTCAAGGTAATCCTCATAACTGCCTTCTATGATTCAAACAAATAGCCAACTGAGCATCCTCTTAGCTTGGGGTAAACACAAATCACATTGAGTGTTCAGTTCAGTGACCAGCAGTATCATGAGTTCTTTTCAGGACAGGATATGAGTGTGCCGTGTGCTTTTAGTTGATAAGAGCTCCATTCAACCGTGTGAGACTCTGTTTGGATAAGGTCTGGGTGGTTTCACGTGCCACCCAAAGAAAACCCATTTGAATCCTTTTTTGAATCCACTTCGTATAAAAACAAGACGTTCAAATTGGAATCATAAAAATCCTCAGGACTGTAACATTAACAAAATTGTTAGGGTAAAGCACAACAAGTGAGGCTGACACTGAATAGGGAGCACACCTCATAAACTGTCCCACTGTGATCACTGAGCGGTTGAAATGATCTGCTGATAAGAAAACCTAAAATAAAACAGTCTTTTTTATTCATGCTGTATATTTCTGGTCATAAGATTGTTTCTGTTTTTTAGCCTTTTCTTAGTTTGCCACACACTTTTCATTGACCTCTTATAGAGATTTTTACCGTTCATGGTTATGTATTAGAAAACAAACTAAACTGTCTTTGATTATGCTATTGGATATATCATAAATATTATCAGAACATTCATTTCATTAATTACAGTCAAATACAGAAAGTTTAAATTCCCCTGGAATAAACAGGGAACAAATCAAACAAGTTAAATCATTGCCCCCTACTATATGTAACTGGTGTTAATTTATCCAATGTATTGCTGCTGTTGGATTGAAAGTGTTATCAGCCATTGCTATGACATAGAGTACTTTTCACAACCCTTAAATAAATTAATTCTTGTCACTCTGCAATCCTCTGGTGTTTAATGAAACACGGGAATGTGAGGCAGCACTTTGGTAGATAGAGTCAGCCCCACTGTAGCTGTAAAGAGACAGACAGATTCAATTTCACACATCACACCCCAATATGACTCAACACAGCTCAGTCTATTTACAGAATATACTATAGATACAGAGGACAGAACTTCCCCAGCCAATGAAGAGAGCAACTCCAAATTCATATCTATTGAGAAAAAAAAACATGACTTAATGGTCTGTTTTAAAAGCACCTTGAACACTCTGGATCAACAGTTAAAATGTTCTTACTTTAGCCCCACAAACTTTGGGTTGAAAAACTCTGTTGTGAGGGAACATCCTGAGAGTGAGCACAGGCCTGAATGAGAAAAAAGACTTTAGAATCACACAAATAATGAAATGGATAATGAAGAGACTTTCACTATACTTACCACTCAAAATAAAAGTTAAACCAGCAACGAAGGCAATGATGGATTTGTTTGCTACAGTTCCTCCAATTTTGGTGCATTTCATTCCAAAAAGGGCCAATATAGACCCAAAAAAACCCAGACAGATAGCTGTGATCATCAGTCCTCTGTAAGCTTGGATGTGACCTGCAAATAATTAAAATTAAAAAACAAAACCTACTGATTGAGAGACGACCACCTCTAACACTGACCCACGGCCAATAAAGTGGCTTAAAATCAACATTTTCTTCAGACAAGGGAGACTTTTCCTCAAGAAGAAGAAGCATTTCGCTCTTAGATGTATATTAGTCCCAATGAGCTTTAAGTGAACTTTGGTTCTGCATTGAAAGAGACAAGGGGCAACGACTGAACAAATAAAGTTGATGTTAAAACTGAGGATGAATCAGTATTACTAAATCCAAATTCAACAATTAGTTCTGGCATTTACATGTGCTATTAATCTAAATAAAAATAATAAACAGAAAAGCACAAAGGAAAAAAAACCTGACCATCCAGTGCCAGCATTGAGGGAAAGATTTTGCAGTCGTGACGTCCAGTTGAATCACCAACACAGTTCTTCCATAGATTGGAAGTGATGAGAGTTGTACCGAGGACTATCCCATCCAAAGTAGCAATCTTCCAGATTTCTGTTGGCATGGTGGAACAGACAAGCGCCCACAGTGGTTAAAATAAAGGCACAAATCTCCTGAATCATGGCCTCATGCTGTAGAGAGAGGAACCTTACAAACAGCTGTGTGAGTGAAATCTTGAATTTAACGCATTTATGAAATAAAAATTTCTGGCTGGAACTTCCTGTTAAAAAATATCATTAAAAGCAAAGTCAGCTGCAAAAGAAGTTTTCTCTTTTCTGAATAAGACGAAAAAAGGGAAGCATCCACCTGGCTTAGTCAAAAGAAAAATCACACTATGAGTCAGTGGTGAACAGTATTGTGACTTTTTCTGGACAAGATAACTGAGTGGTCGATGTGCCAGTTTTTCATAAATGATGGTGCCAGGATCACACATTCAGGTAAGGCAGGATATACCTTCACGTTTACACAGCACATAAGGAGAGTCAATTGCAGCCTCTTGGCAGGGACAGAACAACTCAACTAAAATACACATAACACTTCCAAACACACACAAATATTGAATTGTTGGAGCCGTAAACATCAAATAAAAGATTCCCGTCAAAGTCATAATAACATCAGCACTTTCTCGCACTTTACAGGTGAAGAGAATAAGGAGATAGAGGGGATGGGAGAAAAAATGAGAACTTGTGTGTCTGTGCGTGTGTGTGTGTGTATGTGTTTGTGTGTTAAAATATGTTGGGAGGGAGTGAGGAATAACTTATGTTATGACATTTGCAAAGAAAGACATAGTAAATTTCACACTTCTGACCTCTTTTAGCTTCCACTTTCATTGCTGGGTCAAATTCACCCGAACTATATCTCTGTGATATAAACATGCAAAGGTTGCAAATACATACAATTAACCATCTTTTATTTGTTCGCTGATAAGACTAATTAAGGACAGCAGAAGTGTCATATTGAAAAAAAACAAATCCTGATTTTTTTAACTTTGAAAACACAACGGGATGGTAAAAAGTTAATTAATTCATTTTTCTATAAAACTTTTAAATAGTGGCAAATAAGACAGATAGTCACTGGTATTTAAAGAACCTGATGTTACTTTATGGCTTTAGGGGATTAAATTATTATTGCCTTTATATAGACTTGTAAAAAAATAGACTCTTACCCAATTTGCCATGAAAATGTTGAATATCAGGGAGAGCTGTTTTAGTTAAGATACTGACAGCAGACAAGGCCATCAGGTGAAAGATTCATTGTTTCCATACAGTGATTTGTAATGCCTGAAACTGCTGCCGCAGTTATTATGCCCTTTTTGAGGTTCATATAATTAATCTATGTATCTACTTTTGTACGTTCACAATAGCTAAAGTTCTAAAAAAGTGTCTGTTTTCATGTACTACTCCTCCTTGCTCCATCTACGCTCTGAGTCTGTCAGCTACGCTCTGCTGAGCCCACACTGTTAGACCCCACGTGAGTCAAGTCTGCTCTGATTGGTCTGCTCTGTCGTTATTGGTCAGTTGCTCAGCACACTTCTCGAAAAATTTCAACATGAGCTGCTGGGCTTGCACAACGAGCCAATGGGCTTAGATTAGTGATCTCACATTGACAATGACGTCGGACTGACAAATTTTTATCGAGAGGGGCTAGAACCAAGCGTTACATGCAGCTAATGCTACAGCTAACAGGAGGATGTAGGAGAAGCTGCGTTTCCGCGGACTTTGAATTTTTGCACATAGATGTGCCTAAACATGCACAGGACACTTGGAAAACACACTAAAGAGCATATAAAACCAGAAAAAGCATAATATGGGACCTTTAACCTTTTTTCACAGGCTAGATTCTTGTTAAGAGATCCATTTGACCGATTAAAGAAAATAGGATTAGATTTTTTGTTAAAGAACACTAAACATGTACAAATCAAAACCTGCAAAGAGTTGAAAGGAACTGTTTTGTCCACAGGGGGCGCCAAAACAGAAAAGGGCTGTTGAAGAATAGGCTATAAACTTTATTTGTTAAAGAAAATATTGGAGTGACAATCAAATCCATTATAGGTACAAAGGCTTTATTAAAATAAGAGTTCATAGATATCCCATTGACATTCACTGTAATTAATCCTTTGGATTAAATCCCAGCATTTAGCAAAATTATGAGTAAACAAAAGACATTTATATATATCACAGATGATTCATTTTTTTAATCAACATTACATGTGACAAGAGCATTAAAAAAATACAAAATGTGAAAGATGAATGTTCCTCTGTATCTACAGTATGAGATTTGTTGACATACATTTGTCACTAACACCTGATTTAAGAATCTGAATAAAAAATAACTTTATGAAATGGAAATAAATTGAAGTTACTACACAAATGCATCTCTCTCTGAGACCCGTGTTGGTGTTGTCTGAGAGAGCCTCGAGATCTTGGAGCTGCTGCTTCTTCCTGAGCCCATGTAAGCTGCATACTGCCCTGAGGGTTTGTAGTATCCACTATAGAGGGTTCTTCCTCTGGAGCGAGGGTCCATGTATGTGCCCCCTCCGTAGGCATATACCACTTGACTGTATAAGACCGAAACAGTGTCAAAATTAATTCAGTACTTGGGTAAGAACTCAGCAAGGAAAAAATGGGAAAGCTGGGTGAATTCAAATACCTTTTAGGGCAGATTACTCTGAAGACTGTCACAGCATAAAACACTGCACCTAAAATGATAAGAAAACAACCCACCAATCCTAGAAATATTGGAGTTCCTAGGTCATACCTATAATGAATAAAATGTAGATTATAAAGTACATACATTCAACATGTTAAATTAATACAATTGAGGTTGTGTTACATTTGGTATTAGCACATTTATTTAAATTATAGATGTGTACATAAGTGCAAACAAATGTACCGTAAGATTCCTGGCCCTACATTGGCAGCAAAGGTTGTTCTGGCGATCCTGTTGATGTATAAGCAGTAGGCAGAAATATCTGACACACCTGCACACAGGTAATGTTGATAATATTAAACACTGAGGGCAAAACATTTCTGTCGTTTATGGACACAAACTTGTTTTTGCAACGGACCTCCAGCAACATGAAACACTGCTCCTGCAAAAAGCAGCTTGTCCTTGGTTTGATCAGCTCCACCAATGTAAGTACAGTCCATCCCAATGAAGCAAAGGACCACACCAAAGAATCCAAGAGTTAACCCGCACATTAGCAATCCTCGCACTCCTTGTACATAAGCTGTGAGAATCAGAAAGAAAGACTTCAGGTTAAAAATAATAAGAAAGTATACTCTAGAAAAAAAGTTATTTGAGACAGACAAACAAATAATGTGAATCCTGAGGCAGAGGTGACAAACATTTAGTTTGCTTTAAAATTATGGGAAGAAACCCAAAAATACAAAATACAACTGTAAGTTGAAATAATGGTCTTCAGACAACGTTGCAACAAATTCTCCTTTAAAAAGATGCTTATTATTATTGCGTCAACCATGGCTTTTTTTGTAAAGAGGTGAAGCTTACTGTATGTGAACTCAATGTCACTTAGAGCATTCATCATATCTTTGCTTTGATCCACATACTGTACCTTCTTTTTTTTTGTTCATTCAGAGCTCAAAAACCTGAACATGTATTTTACCCATACCCATTATACTGAAGATAAAGCTTATATTTCCTGGTTAATGTGATTTGAAGTAGCCTTTATGTTCAGCCAGGGTGTTCATGTTCAGGGTCAGTATCTAACACTTGTGTTCAGGATCTGTAAAGGTTCTCTTTGTATAGACCAAGTCACATTGTCATAATTACGTAAGATTGTCAAGCATTAAAATAATTATCAAACCAGATGTTACTCTCATCTTATCATTTTGCTATAAGTTGAATCATTAAAAGTGATTTGAAAGCTTCAAAATCTAACATTTGATTTATTTCACCAAGATTATTTCTTCTCTTAGTGGACACATTGTACAAGATAACCTCTTGAGTTACAGGACTTCATTTCTTATTCATCCTGAGTAAAAGACATACGCTATTGGAAACATTGTTACCGATACGGTAAACAACATGAAAAGCACTTACCGGTGACGCTCCAGAGAACAGGGAAGTCTCTACAGTTTGTCACAGCTGTGGAATCAGTGAAACAGTCTTTCCACAGGTTGGACCAGTACCAGGCCACTTTAATGATGAAGGAGCCTCCTTGTCCTCCTCTTTGTGTGATCCTCCAAAAATCCATGGCCATGGTGCACAGCACAAACAGCCATCCCAGAGATGAAACCAGAAATCCAAATATTTGGATCAATCGTTTCCTCATTTCTTAACTCACTAAATGAATATAGGAGGTATCCACTTAGCAGTGTTGAAGGGCAAAAATCAGTGGCAAGTAGCCGACTGAGTCATTTCAAGACAGGATGATGGTGTGTCTGTGCCATGTGCCTTTGGTGTTGATGAGGGCTCTGTGCAATTGTCTGAAATGTTTACTGTAAACTTTCTGGAGTGTGCTGATGACTTGAGCTCTCCTCTAGCTACCCTTTCACCAGATGGTCCCAAGAAGTTTCTTAGGTGAGTTGGTAGGAAAGAGGTTTCCTGAATCAGAAAATAAGTAGCCATCAGTGGGAGAGCCATAATAAGTGCTTCTAGACTCTGGTCTGACTTTAACCTTCAACAAGTTGTGATGCAAAATCACATTGTGCAACTGTATCTATCACATCTTAACTATCTAACCTTCACTTAATCAAGAGGGGCTCCAAGCACATGGTAGACTACATAACTCCATGTTTTCTGAATCTTTTGGTGACCCCTACAGTGTGGGGTAATCCAACTGGCTAACCTGCTTAGGTGCTTTGTGGACCTGCTTGACATGATTTGTCCTTCTGCTGCTGACTAGCACTACTGGCTGCAGCAATCAACCATTCAAAGACAAGATAAGCTTTATTTTCATCTGATAATTATCTACCCAGTCCTGTCCCCCCCCTGGTAAAGGTTCCTGGATCTGATACAGGTTTATGACCAAAAAGAAAAGCAAGACTCAACAGTGCCATGAAGAATATGGCTTAACATCAGATTTTCGATTGGATTGCCTCACTGTCAGGGTCGCTTAACTCTTCTTATCACCAAACATTGTTCAGGTCAAATGAGTCAAATGCCCAACAGTGCTTGGGCCATTACACAATTCATAACAGTGAGCCTTTACCATGCACCACAAGTGTACATGTTATTGGGTATTTGTGTGAAATGTTTACTGTAAACTTTTCCATTGATCGACCTCTTGTTAGCTTTTTGGGGGTTAGGTAAAGGGTTGAAAAATGTGTTTTGTCTTAAGCTAAAAAACAAAGGTTATTAAAAGGTTAAAAATGGATTACAATATTTAAATAATTGCATAAATATAGGTTCAAAGCCATTGGGACATTGCAAAAGTTAAGTATAGTGAAAATACAGTTCATTGCTAAAAGAACAAGTTAAATGAGTTAAAAAGAGACCCCAATATATTTTTTTATGTTTATGTATCTCAAATAGCTATTTAAAGCCAGATTCCAGTGCACTGAGCTAGTTACAATGTTATTGCAATACCAAACCAGGTCGCTAGAGGGCGCATAGCGCTTGTGAGGAGCATAATACCCCAAAGAGGCAAAATCTGCAGAATAAATCCTGTAGCCGAGCAGAACACAGCTAAACTTATTTATTTACATACAGACAGACCACTGCAGGGTAAAGATACACTCCTCCCTGGCACCCCTAGGCCAGGTTGAGGGAGCAACAATTTCATCCCTTTTGTGTCCACTACTGTGTAGCAGCAATATAGACTTGTGAGAGGTCTTATAATGTGTTTCCTTCTTCTCACTAACATATGAGGATAAAGTATACCAATTCAGTGAAATGTCTTTCTGTCTTAAGAGAGGATAACACAAAAAGTAAAGCTGCTGCCCACGTCGGTCCTGCTTTGATCTAAAGAGCATATACGATATAAACTTCTTGTTCAACAACCAAAAGACACAAAAAGTAAGCTGAATCTTCATTTTGTTTATTCTAATATGTTTTATTCACATGTTTTTTTTTTTTTTTTTATAAAAAGACCATTTACTGTATAACAAATTGGACTATGTACAAAGACAGTGACAAATAAAGTTCTGTTTCAATCTCCTTCAAGTTTGCTTGTTAGAAATTATAGTTAATGGTTATGTCATAGACAACAAGAAAACCTGTTTGGCACATATTTAAACATTGTCATTACCGATTTACAGCATGTGCAGGTTACTAAAATTCAACCAAAATAAGAAAAAAATGTGGAAAACATTAGATTCTGACATTTAAGAATAGATAGAAAATGGTGCAAAAATGGAGAAGAGGCCCATTTAGAACCCGACTTCTCAAACTTGCTGACTATGAAACACATATAAGTGATAACATCCAATGTTCAGGAAATATTCAAACTGCCCGATACCGGAATCTTTCCTTCTGTGCAAATATTATGAATTCCCAAAGATTCTGATGCTGAAATACATTTTCTACATAGTGTCTCTTGTATGTTTAAGGCTATATCTCAAAAGACTAAAAAGTGGCTGCTTCTGAAAGTATTTGTATTCACATCCCTCAAACATATGCATTCTTATCAAAGTGCTGGATCCTGGAGGAGTTGCTGTAGTCTGGAGGTGGCCTCTGGTTTATAGACCTTGCCTGCCCTCTTGGGTAGGAGGAGATATGAGAGTGAGAGGCAGCCCCTTTGTAGATATTTTTGGCCTGACTGTTCCTGTAAAAAGACAGAAAATAGATTCATCCTCAAATATCATTGATTCATATGACAGGTTGACATTTTCTCAACTTATATGTTACTCATATGAAACCTTTTTGAGAAAGAATCTGCGATGGAGAAGCAAAGTATGACGCCTCCGAGGATACAGAGGACAGAACCTCCCCAACCGATAAACAGAGCAGTTCCTAGCTCATACCTTCAGACAAAGACAACAAATGTGGATTCAGTGGTTGAGTTAGATTAAAGGAGTCCTGCCCAACAGCCACATGGTTCTTACTTTTGAGCCACAAACATCGGGTCGAAAAATTCTGATGTAATCCTGTGTGCATAGAGGGAGTACGCTGACAGTGAGCACAGGCCTAAGAAGAACAAGAGCAAAATGATTAAATCCAATAAAAGCACATCATGAATAATTAGATGAACAATCAACTGTACTGACCACTAAGAATAAAATTCACTCCAGCGAAGCAAGCAACTCTGGCTTTGCTGTTATCTGTTCCGCCGATTTTGGTGCATTTCATCCCGACGAGGGCGAATATGGAACCAAAAAAACCAAGACAAATGGCTGCAATCGTCAACCCCCTGCATGCTTGGATGTAGCCTGCAAACATAAAATTTAATTCAACTTGTGGGCACTTAAAAGACTCTTATGTTTAAAAGGCTCCATTCTGTGCTTACCCTGTACGTTAACCCCTCCGCATACCACAAGGTCAATGAGTTATTGACCTTGTGACCAAATTTAACACATAAAGGCAAGCAACACAATTTGTCAGGTGTTACGCTAATTGTTTTCAGGGACTTAGTGGTCATGTGGAGACCATATTGGTATATAACTTAACAATTAAAGGTGATTTGGAGAGAAATATTAACTGACAAAGTCAAGCAATGAAACGAGTCAGCTGTTGAGGAAACAGCCTGAGGGTCCCAGTAAATCACCGTTATGGTGCTTTCAAGGTCTGAGAACAAAGGCTAACCATTGACAGTATTTGGATGTAAGTGAGTTCTTGCTCGAAGAATTGCCATTCTAGGATATCTATTTCTCATCAGAAAACAATGAGATTCTCTTTAAATAGTCCGAGCACATTTCAGAGAGAAAAGGACCCGATGTAAAGATTTAAAAACTGTGGATGAATCAGCACTGGTCTTCACATTGAGCAGTAAATGAAAAGCAAACAACACAAAATATGTTGACCAAACTGTTAAAAAAAATAAAAACAAAAAACAGGGAAAGGCAGAAAAGCCAAGGATCCATTTATGAGGGAGGAAAAAAGCTGACCATCCAGTGCCAGCATGGAGGGAAAGTCTTTGCAGTTGGAGACTCCTGTTGAATCAGTGACACAGGTCTTCCAAAGATTGGACCAGAAGGAAGCTGTTGTGATGACGCTTCCATCATTGGAAGACACCTTCCAGTAGTCTGTCGGCAAGGTGGAGCAAACGAGCACCCAACCGCAGATTGTTAATATAAAGGCAAAAATCTCCTGAATCATGCTGCTCATACTCCAGAGAGGTGATGACCAGTTGGTGAGAGCTGACCTAAAACTGATGAATGGACGCTGGTTAGTGAAGCTTAGGCTCTGCACTAGTAAGTGCAATGGATAGGCTGTGATTGATTGTTAATGTTTTGTGGATTCTTATATACTGCAGGGAGGAGTTTGGCCTGAAACATCAACAGGTGGCCAGTGTACTATCAAAGAGTCTTCCACCCACTCACACAGTACACGTCACTATGACTCAAAATGACTGAGATGGAAACTGAAGGACCAGCGGTGACATAAGTTATGACATTAAAGATTAAAGCAAGGGTGGACATTTTGCCCTGTACAATTTTCTCATGTCAGACAATTAGAAAAATCAAGACAACCCAAGAGATGTATCTAGCCAACACATGGACAAATACATTAAATGGTGTAAATACCAACTAGTATACCATTTTAAAGGCTATGAATTGAGTGAAAGTTGACTATTATTTTGTTCCTTTATGGCCCCTTTTGTCTTTTTTGTTACATTTTCTGTCCTTCAAACACCAGGTTGACATTTCCAGCAAAGGATTAAACATTTGCCAGTTCAAGTTAACACGTGAGCCATAATCTTCAGGATAAATGATTTCTTTCCCTTTTGTCAGCCTTAAAGGAACATTTAAATTAAAAAACAAAAACAAAAAAACATTATTTGTCATATCTAAGTGGCAATAATAGTCAAAGATAATGATTTAATGTGATCTACAGAACAGGTATAACTTAAACCAGTTTGATAAAAAAAAAAAAACATTGGAAGAAAACAAAGATTATAGGTTTGAATTCTGAGTCAATTTAAAGGATAATCAGACGTTTTAACGAAATAATGAAACACTAACCTCTATAGATAATCAATGATGAACAACATATAAGGATATCTTTGTGAAAGTTATCAACCAAAATATTCTATTTCATTTCAATTATATATTTCAAGATTATCATCAAAAACGACTTTATTAATAAGACACTTCACAAAAGTGACAAGTTACTTGCTACTTTCTTCCATAATGTATGAACCAAATGTATCTGCCAATTCAGACAATTGGCTGCAGTGTAGCTCTTATACATCACATGTGATGCCTTTGTTTTTGTTGTGAAGAATATTCATGTTACACTCTTGCACCTACACTGAATAATACTTTACCTTGCTAAATGTTAGTGCAAAGGCTGCCATGAAAGGTGTAAGATAAAAACGTCCAGATCCTGAATACGGTTGCTTTGAACTCTGGCTCTCTGTGCTTACCTTCCAGCTGAAGTATAGTGTGATGAGGTCTGCAGTGAAGCGCTCCGATTGCATTTCCCGCACAGTTGTTCCACAGACCCTGGAGCACCCAGGTGGCTGTGATGACTGAGGATGCCCGGCTCGTGGCCCTCCATTCATTGGACACTGTGGCAGCAATTGTTGCACCCAGACCAGCGAGGCCACTGAGAAAAGCCAGTATCTGACGGACTGACATTTGGAGATTTAGGATATGTATCTAGTTTATCTAGAAGATTCAAGAAAACAAGAAGAAAGACATTCGCTCCAGGCAGGTAAATTACACTGTGAACATGTGTTTCAATGAGATGATTTACAGATATCTCTCCTGGTCTCCAGTGGTGAGGGATGGACACATGTGTCAGGAGGAAGCATGAGTTGGCAGTTAGTCATTAAATTTGGGGAAGAAGAGTAGGAATTGCTCTACGTTTTGGTCACATAATAAGGCCGAGTTTCATATTAACAAAAGAATAATAAATAATCCTAAAAACAAGAGGCAATGTGGCAAGGTCCAGCTACTGGTTCATCTATTGCTGTGCAAGATATTTAGCAAATGACTAATCATTGCCAGCTCATATGTGAAAATGTATGTTGTGGTTTCTAATCCTTTTTTTTTACTGATCTCAGAAATTATGAAAATATATTTTATTTAAGGTAGGTAAAGGAAAACAGGTAACTTTGACAGAAATCAAGACGATTTATTAAAACAGGATATAATCTGAGCTGAATCAGGTGTAAAGATTAGCTTGAGGGTCTCGTTGAAAAACTGGTGGAAAGATGCGTAAAGTTCATAACAAATAGATATATAAAATGTGTACAAATAACTTGCATACAGGACTGTAATGAAGCTTTTATTCCTTTTATTTGAGAACACCCCCTCTTTTGTGATACAATAAAGGCAAGACATAAGGTAGGAAGTAAAAAAAAAAGAAGAGGAGCTGTGTACTAAATATCACTGATTTTAATTTAAAAGTAAAACAATAAAAAGATAATTAACAGTTACTCATGTGATAATCAAAATCATTAATTTAGTCTCTAAAAGTTGAAAAAATCAGAGAGCAAGGTGTATGCATAATTAGTCATTAGAATCTTGTAAAATGTTATATCCTTCCATACAGTATAATTCTGCATTCTATGTATGTGATAGGCTACTTGTGAAACACTATCTGAAACATTTCAAAGTGTCACAAAGAAAATAATTGATTCATTGATAAGAAAAAGATATACGTTTTTGTTTAAGAACCGATTGATTTGAGTGGAAAAGGCTACAGTTCATGACCTTATGACACAAAGTAGTTTAGGAAGTGATGTAAGCCAATCATTACTTGGTGGGCGGGGCTACACAGCGGCGAGTTCACCTGACAGCCGGCTATGCGTAGTAATCCTCTCCAGCATGTCTGGTAGGTGTAATATTTACTGACGTTGGAATTAACTGTTGCTTCTCTATTCTCTCCTTCCTTCTCTGAGCTTTTATCGACCTTCCTTTGCCACAAGCCTGCAAAGAAAGTCTCCAGGTTTCTTTAACGGTTTTAGGGGGGCATGGAGACTCTGCGGAGGGAGGGGAAGGATAATCCGTTGGCTTCAGCTAATCTTCTCTCCAAGATTTTCTTCTGGTAAAGGGAACCGGCTAGAAGTGACAGCTGTGTTTGACATGTATTGAACTTAAAGCTCTCGTGTGTTGGGGTTTTATCAAGTCAACTTTGGTTATATTCTTTAATAATTATATTTAATTATTAACAATATAAATAACAATATCATTAAACTATGTTTAATCAACTCTTGGGGCACCACCCTGGAATCAGGGAAATATAACCAAAATATCATTAAAATCAGTCTCAAATTAGTTACTTAATTAATAATATTTTTAATAATTAATAACTATATTTAATAAATTAAAGGCGTGAAATCCGTAAACAAAGCCCTCGCACCCAACTTATATCGCAATGCAAATACACCAGTAATCACAAACAACTGCTCTCTTAAATTATAACAGAATTTATTTAAACAAAGCAACATCAGTCCAAAATCAATAAACTTAATCAAACAAATAACTATTACAAACTAATCTAAGCAAACAAACTTTATTAAGCAAAACTTGTGAATGAGGTGTAAAAGTTTAGTTTAGTGTGTGTGTGTGTGTGTGTGTGTGTGTGTGTGTGTGTGTGTGTGTGTGTGTGTGTGTGTGTGTGTGTGTGTGTGATGAGAGAGAGAGAGAGAGAGAGAGAGAAAACAAGATGGTGGAGGGAGACAATGCAAATGCAAATGACAAAATGGTGGACAACAAAGGAAGCCATGTGGCTGCATTTTTTAAATAGTTTGAGCTCTCTGAGCTGAGTTCAGTAACTGTTACTTAAACAACAGAAAGCCAGTGGCCGGACTTTGATTCAACGACGGGTACACTGGTCTTTCTGTTTGTGAAAGCCATTGATTGACGGTAAACTAGCATAGCATTACACACATAGTCGAACACAGCGGTTCATCACAATAAAACAATGCAGCAGCTTACAACAGATAATAAACAGAATGTGACGTCTCGTCAACAATGATGCATAATTACCAGTGGTTATAAAAGAAACATAACTATTTCTGAAACTATTTCTACCAAAGCTCTTACTTGGGGTAACTCCTGGTGATCATTGCAAAGTTGGTTAGATTGTCACTCTGTTGAATATTAAATCAACAGATTCAGGCAGGTTTCCTTCAAGGTGGATTTAGGAGGAGGGTAGCAGGATTCAGATCTTCGATCCAGAGCGCTGCTCTGTGGTCTTCTGGTTGCAGGAGCCAAGTTCTTTATGTGTTCTTGTGGATTCAGGGATCAGTAGGCTTTCTTCAGCACTCCTGTCCAGTTGCGTTCATTGATGTCTTACGAAAAATCAAAGGAAAGAAACTCTTCTTTTTTCTTGAACCTGATAGCATCTGATTGTGCCCAAAACTCCTAAAAACATGCCGTGGAAGTAGTCAGCTGAATCCTCTGATGCTTGAATTCAGCATGTGAAGAGCTACCTAGACTGAGCAACCTTAGCTCTGGAGTTTAACCTATGTAAGTCAAGAGGAGGAAAGGGTCTGTCTCGAATGCTGGAGTCCATCTTGTTGGAGAGTTTATCCTCGGGTATCAGCAGACAACATTTGAAGAGCAGGAAGCAATGCCTGGCGATTGCTTATAAAGACTGGAGCTGCCTGTGGGTTTTACCTCAGGCCTCCACCTATGAGGATAAAGAAGTCACACACCACCCACTTTTCAAACCTATTTGTTAGTTGCTGTTGGGCAAAGACTCCTTTGTGTGGTTTCCTCCAAAATAACTCTAGTCAGGCTTGAGAACTGTGATACAGGCCTGAGTCATTTGTCCAGCACACTTGGCTGAGGCCCAACATTCCCCCTTGTCATGAAGAGCGAAATGCAGGTTACGATCTTTAGGACAGCTCACGGACCAAACAGTCCATGTGTCTGGGATGGAGAAGGAAATATTTTTTTTTGCAGTTCCTTAGGGAAGCAGTCTATAGGGTTAACAGTTCAGAGATATTAGAGGCATTTTGGTCTGGGCAGACACTGAGGCAAAGTCTGGGCGAATGTCTAACTATGTCTAACGCTAGGCATAAAACATAAACAGGCATTAGCAAAGCTCAAGGTGCATTCTTTAACAAAACAAACGAAACAAACAAACAAGAGGAGGCGAGAAAGAGAAGAGTATCAGGTGTAGATTTGTGTGCTAACTCCTAGCCTGGG